ATCATCTTCGTGGACTTCAGCAAGGCCTTCAACAAGTTGCCGCACGGCCTCCTTCTGTGAAAGCTGTCTTAGGTGTAGGTTTGGTCGTGCGGAATTGGCTTTGAGACTTCTTCATCGATCGGAACTTCTGCGTCCGTGTTGGCAAATCGCTCTCTGCGTGATATTCCGCTCCCAGTGGAGTCCCCAAGGCTCAGTTCTTGGTCCATTGTTCTTTGTGGTATATATAAACGACTTGCCCGGTCAACTGTGCAGCCCATCTCTCATATATGCGGATGACAATAAAATATGGTGGACAATCAAGGATCCGAATGATCGAAGTTTTCTTCAAGCGGATCTGAACAACCTGGCTCAGTGGGCGGACACCTTGGCTCTTCCAGTCAACACAGCAAAGTGTGCTCACCTGCACTTGGGGCCTTCTGACTCGGAGGTAGTCTAAACCTTCCAGGGAAGCACATTGCGCAGAACATCGTGCGAACGAGACCTGGGTGTTATGGTTACGTCATCGCTAAAGACCCGAAAAAACACCGATCGGGTCTGTGCTAGCGCATGGAGCATTCTGAGGCCTATTCGGCGGTCTTTCAACCAGCTTACGATGGACGCTTCCAGGCGGCCGTACGCTTCCCATGTCAGACCAAGACTTGAGTGTGGTGATGCGGCGACATACCCCTGCACGGTCGGTGAACTGGTTAAGTTGGAGCGTGTACAATGTGCTGCCACCAGACTCGCTGTTGGACTACGCGGGACCAGCTATAAAGGTCGTCTACAGGCTAATATTCTGTTCCCAATTACGTATCAACGCCTCAGGGGAGATCTCATCCGCCTGAGGATGATCCTGAGAGGTGATATGGACCCGAAGCTGCAACAGTACTTCCCTTTACGGAAAAAGCGCCGCACGCGGGGGTGCTCTCTCACATTGCGGAAACTTCAGTCAGTTGGTCTTCCGTTAGTCTACCGATTCTCGCGTAGGTCAACAACACTCTGAAATTCCCTTCTAGCGATTGTCGTGGAAGAGAAGACAGACGCTGCTTTCAAAGGGCGTCCGGATGAGGACCTGAATGGACTATGGAGGAACAAACACTTGTGATCGGACCTTCGACCCAGTGGTGATGGGGCTTACACAGGCGCCCTGCCCTCAATCCTGAAGACTGAAGATTTTGTCCACTAACCCGGAACTCTATAGGTGACTGAGAGCAGACCTGCAATAAATGAAGTTGTGGACAACAAATCCAATTACGATTCACCGAAACATTCACTTCCCCGATTGATCAACAACGCCGTCCTTGTGTCCACTTCGCCGGAACTCGAGAGATCAGCGGTGCAAGAGGTGTAGTGAACGGAGTTAGGGACAACGCACCGATTTTTGATTCACCGAGGTGTCCAATTCTCAAATTAAGCGAATAACGTTTCCCTTTGTCAGATAACCCGGAACTCGAGCGGTGAGTGGTAGAAGAGATGTATTGAGCGGAGTAGGGAACAACAAACCCAAATACGAATCACCGAGGCGTGCAATTCTCAGATTGAACGATATCCCTAGCCCGTTATCCCTTTCCCTGGAGATCGAGTAATGACTGGAAGAAGACCAATGTTGATCGGAGTTGGGAACGATAAACCCCATAACTATTCACTGACGCATCCACTTTTCCGATTGATCGACAATCGCTTCCCTTTGTTCACTTCCCGCGGAATTCAATAGGTGAGTCTTTGAAGAGCTGTAATGAGCGAAGCTGGGCACAAGAAACCCAATTATGATTCATCAACGCATCCACTTCTCCCATCGATCGAGAGGCTCATCTCTTCTGCCACCTCGCGAGAACATCAACATCTCCTATAAGCCGACGATCGCATCGGTTTTCTCACTTTGCTGGATTTTGAGAATTGAGTTGCTGGAGACGTGTAGTGAGCAGATTTGGAGACAACGAACCCAATTACGATTCACCAAGGCATCCACAGCTCTACTTAGCGGACAACGCTTTGATTTTGTCCCTTACGCCGGAATTTGAGAGCTTTCACAGCTATCACAGAAGGAGGCCGTGCGGCAACTTGTTGAAGGCCTTGCTGAAGTCCACGAAGATGATGTCCGTTTCCTGTTCTTTATCATTGTCCTCGCTCCAGCATTCACGTGTAAGTAGCAGGTTTAAGAGGCATGAGCGACTCGCAACGCTAGTAAGGCTAACTGGTCGGTAGCTTCCAGGGTTACTCCTATCCCCAACTTTGGGCAGTGGAACAATGACAGCGTCCTTCCACTGCCGCGGTAAACGCTCTTGAGTAAATGACAAATTGAACAGGTTGCACAGTGGCGCTGCACGTTCATCTGCCTGCTCCTTCAGGATTAGCGGCTGCATACCATCAGGTCCAGGTGACTGGTGAACCTTTAGTCGGCGCAGCGCCAGGGCCAATTCTCCTATTGTAAATGGGGTCCAGTTCAGCGCAGTGTCAGTGTCCAGTGGATGTGCCAATGTGCTGTAGGTTGGGGTGTACACTGAGGCATAATGTGATGGCAGCATCTCCACTTTGTCCTCATATTTTTTGGTTAGTGCCCTACCTTTGGTGAAAGTCAGGAGATCAGGCGTTGCTCTGATCTTTCGCCTGAGGTAGGCATACAATCGCTTTGGTGCTTGTACTGAAGGGAAAAGATTATCGCTTAATCTGAGAATTGGACGACGCTTTGAATAGTAATTGGGTTTAATGTGTGCAACTCCGCTCACAACAGATCTTCTAACACTTGACTCTCGAGTTTCGGGTTAGTGGACAAAGAGATATGTTTGTCCTTCAGCCGGAGAAGTCGATACGTCGTTGAATAATAATTGGATTTCTTGTACTCAACTCCGCTCACTGCAGGTCTTCTGCAACTCACCTGCCGAGTTTCGGCGAAGTGGACAAAGGGATAGGTATTTCGCCCAATCGGAAAAGTTGATGCCTTGGTGAATCGTAAGTGAATCTGTTGTACCCAGCTCCTCTCACTACAGATCTTCTACCACACACCTCTAGTTTCCGCGAGGTGGACAAAAATATGGGGTTATCGCTTGATCGGAAAGGTGGCTTCCTCGGTGAGTCGTAATTGAGTCTGTGATACCCAACTTTGCTCAATACAGGTCTACTTTCACTCACCTCTCAAGTTTCGGCAAGATGGAAAAAGCACTAGTGTTGTCGCCCAAACAGAGAATTGGATGCTTCGGTGAATCGCAATAGGGTTTGTTGTCCTCAACTTCGGTCACTACAGTTCTTCTACCAACCACTTCATGAGTGAGGAATAAAGCACGCCCACGACTGTTGTGCGTGGGTTGTTCACTTCTGAGGAGGGACGGATTAGCTTCCCTGCAGTCGTTGGGTCTACTGTGCGTTCTGATATGAGGTGCACAGTCCTCACCTGTCTCCTTTGACCTTTGTAAGGCTTAGGCTAATTACGGAGCAAAGTACTTTACGTCCTGATTCTGTTTTCACCTATGCAGGGTCAGCGGTGCGCGCGCCCTCCGATTGGCTACGTTACACTCTCGTACCTTTACGTCACGTTCGAATTTATCGTTTGCTTCGTCCATGTATCGGTGCTAATCATTCCCAGGATCTATAAATATTCTCTCCAGGACATACTACGACTGAAAGCTTTGATTTCTATGCTACCTGCCAATATTCTGCTTGGTGAGAGTGATAAACGTCCTTGGAGCAAAAAAAGCAGACGGGCCGGATGTCAGACTGCTCTTACTTGGCCAGATGACTGTGCCATTATTGGTCGGCACTAACGTTCTCGAAGATCTCGGATTTAACCTCCATTCCAACACATGTGGTGCTTGTGTAAAAGAAACCTGGTTGAATCAAAACATTGAGCACGTGCTCGGGCGAATAAGAGGGTTTGGATGCCACCGGCAGGATAGACAGCGAAGTAGGAAAACATTCGGAGGCGGTTCATCTATTTACAATAATAATTCCTGGTGTGAAAAATGTCAGAAGTTACATATAACTATTTCGAAAAATGCATTGAACGTTTACCTGTTCGTTGTCACCCAAACTTTTCTCGTCACAAAAGTACAATCATCACTCATGCGTATACATCTGTATCATGTACTTGGACAGAAGATTATGCTTTCTTTGATTCCTATATTCTGTTTTCAGTTTTATTACTGGATGAAAATCTTCACTCACTTGTTGGTAATTTCATGTGGGCATTTCTCCTCTGCTTCCGTTTGGTCTGCCTGACCTTTCTCATTCTCCTATCAGATGTAATTCTGTGCTGGAGAGAGTGATCACAAACTATCCCAACTTATTCTCTCTCAAACCAGTGGTTCCGTTTTCTATTAGTGACCATAGCGTTCTTCTTGTTAGACCAGAAGTATACTCTCGCATTGTTTATCAAGCATTCATACGTTCAACCAACTGTATCTCAACGTTCTATTGTGATTGTTCAGTCTTGCTTTGGTTCTTGTCCTTCGCTCATTGAATGTGTCAATCTGTTAACTGAAACGATTAATTCTTAAAATGAACTGACCTAAATCGATCGTTAATTTGAGTTTCCCAATAAAATCCCTGTTTGCCTGTAACGGTAGAATTATCCAGCCCATTTTCCTGACTCGTCTCAACTCCGTGGCACAAGCTCACCAGGTAG